GATTGCTAATGCCAGAATATGCAAAGAATTGTTTTCAAAGAACTATGGGTTCGACCTGTCTGGCTGCTCCCTGAAGGACCGGGGCAAGGGCCTGTCTTTGTTTTGCCTTGCTGGGAGCATCCCCAGGGCTGGGGTGGCTTTTGCCCAAACCATTTTGGCTTTAGCAGCTATTTGCTTTAGTTGTCTGGAGCAAGAAACAACTGTTGGAAAATCAATAGAGAGACTGAAAGCTTGGGAAGGAAGAAGCTGAATAGGAGATATGTTGGGGGAATAATAGCTTTTAAAAAGCAGATGAATATACCGGGTAATAGGGAAAAAAAGGCCATGTACGTACTCAGAAATGTATGCATGCTCAGAAGAGGGCTGGGACAATCCTAAGCTGTTTCTTTTGGCTGGCCCTCAACTCAGGTTCTGCACAAATAGGAAGTGAAGACTAAGGCAGAGTTATTAAATGGCCTGGCCAACTACTGAGTAGTGCTCTAACACACACACACACAGCCAATATGCAAAGAGTTGAAGAGCATTTTTTTTCTGGGCCTTTGGACCTCTAAGAAAACTTAAAACACTAGCTGACCACTAAGCTAACAACTTAGATCTCAGTGGCCATACATGACAATAATACAGACTTTACATGAGTTTAGAAAAGTCACTAAACAATCAAGAGAAAAACAATAACCTACAATAAGCAGCATCAATAAACCCCAGAGAGGGTGCAGAATCTGATTTTCAGAGGTGCTCCATAATATTCAAAATGTCCAGTTTTCAATGAGAAATAATGAGGTGTATAAAGAAACAAAATACAGTGGGACCTCGGTTTTCAAACTTCATTAATTCTGGAAGGCTGTTCAAAAATTGAATAATTTTTTTCCTATTACAAATAATGTAAATTGAATTAATCCACTTCAGACCCCCCAAATGATTCTGTTTTCTTTCTTATATATAGTACATATCTAATGTACTGTTTATTCTACAAATAAATACTTTAAAAACAAAAAGGACATGAAATACAAATGAAAATTTATCAAAAATGAAATGAAATGTACAGTACGAAATGAAATTTTAATAATAAGCAGCAACAAAAGCAAAGCACAAAAATATTCACAGCACAGTTTCCTGAGATGTTAACTACGTGAAGTTTAGCAGTAGACTGACTCATACTCGCACATTCTCTCCTTTGTTGCTGAAGAGATGTGTGACTGATCATACATAAATGAGCATGAAGGGATTGTCGAGTTGAGAAGCGAATTGTTTAAGGTGGGAGATTTTCGAGAACCAAGGTTTGACTGTATGACTCATTCACAAGAAAAAATAAATAGAAACTATACCTGAGGAAGTCCAGGCAGTGGACTTAGTAAGAACAGTAATTTAAATAAAGTTATTTAAATAAATAGAACAACAATTTAAATCAAAAGCACTGTCTCATAAGATAATAATCAATCAATAAATAGTTATAATGAAGAAACCAGACAAATTATGGGATAAAAAAGTACAATAACTGAAATGAAAAATTCACTAGAGGGGTACAAGAGGAGATTTGAGAAGGCTAAAGAAATAGTCAGCCACCTTGATAAGTCAATTGATGTTATCCATTCTGAAGAGCAGAAAGAGGAACAAATGGAGAAAAATGAACAGAGCCCATGAGACCTATAGGAACCCATTAAGTGTACCAATATGTGCATTATGAGTGCCAGAGGCAGAAGAGAAAGAGAGGGATGGAAAGTAATTTGAAAAAATAATGGTTGAAAGATATGAAACTACACATCTAAGAAGCTCTACAAACACCAAGCAGTAAAAACTCGAGAGATTCACATGGACACACATTATAGTCAAATTGCTGAAAGCCAAAGACAAAGAGAATTTTAAAACTAACAAAGTAGATGTGGCCCATTGCATACAAGAGATCCTCCAAAAGATTAATAGCTGATTTCTCTTAGGAAGACAGTATGGTGGCATATATGCTGAAAGAATAAAACTGTCAACCAAGAATTCTTGGTATATTCAGAAAAACTATGCTTCAAAAATGAGAGATTATGATATTCTAAGATAAACAAATAAAAGCTGGGGGAATTCATCATTAGTAGACTTGCCCTAAAACAAATGCTAAAAGGAGTCCTTCAGGCTGAAATGAAAGGTCACTAAACAATAACTTGAAGCCATATGAAGAAATAAAGAACACTAGTTAAAGTAACTATAAGTAAATATAAAAGCCAATGTTGTATTTTTTGGTTTGTAGCTCTTTTTTTCCCTATATGATTTAAAAGACAAAGGAATAAAACAATAATTATAAATTTAATTGATACAAAGTGTAACGATATAAAAGAGGTAGGGATAGAGATGTATAGGTGCAGAGTTTTTATATGCTATTGAAACTAAATTGGTATTAATTCAAACTAGGTTATTATAAGTTTAAAATGTTAGTTATAATAATACCCTAGGTAACCACTAAGAAAATAACTAAAAAATAAAAGGCAAAGAGAAGAAAATCAAAATGGTATACTACCAGTAAAATCAAACACAAATGAAGTCAGTAATAGGGGAAATGAGGAAAAAAACCTAATATAAGACATAGAAAACTTAGCAAAAGGGTAGAAGTCCTTCCTTGTCAATGATTACTTTAAATATAAACAGATTAAACATTAATGTAAAGGCAGAGTTCAGCAGAAGGTATAAAACGCATTATCCAACTATATGCTATCTGTAAGAGACTCATTTTAGATCCAAAGATGCAAATATGTTGAAAGTAAAAGTGTGGAAATACCTATCTGGTGCAAATAGTATCCAGGAGAGAGCTGGGGTGACTATTCTAATATCAGACAAAATAGACTATATGGTAACATTTTTTACATTAGACAAAGGGCATTATATATTGATAAAAGTGTCAACCCATCAAGAAGATACAGCAGTTATAAACAAATGTACACCAAATAGAACCTCAAAATATGTTAAGCAAACAATAGAGTTGAAGGGAGAAATAAACAGTTTTACTAATATTTTGGACATTTCTATGCCCTACTCTCATAGGACAATGAGACAGAAGATAATAAGCAAATAGAGCACTTGAACAGCACTATAAACCAACTAGACGTAACACACACACCCCACACCCCCATCCAGTGATAATAGATTACATATTCTTCTCAAGTGTACATGGAACATTTTCTAAGTTAGATCCTATCAGAGACCACAAAACATATCGCAATGAATTTAAAACATTGAAATCATTAAAAACAACTTCTTTGACAACAGATGAATGAAAACAGATCTCAGCAATTGTGTAGGATAGTGAGTGATAGGAAATTAAGAGCTGGGTGGACTAGAGAGGTTGAAGGGAGAGTAGTCTGAATACAACTATAAAAAGCAAAGATGACTCTCATACCCCACCTCTGGGCCTAGTAGTTATTAGGGGATCTGGGGAAAATAACCACCACTTGACTGGGTTGCAGTGGGTGTAGTGTTCCTAGGGAGTGCTAGGCTCTGAGCATGAAGGCGGAGGGAACAGTTAGAGGAGAGGTAGGGGGTTTTGCTGGGAATGGATCATAAATTCCAGAGGATTCCATGGAACATTTTCAAGAATGTGGAAATGTGGGATAGTACAGAACAGGGATTATGCAGAGCAATATGAGGATCAGAGTGTGGAGCTGATGCTTGGCCTGGTAGTTGGGACTTCTGGTAGTGGCTCATTTAAACAGAAGTAATTGGGAATAATAAAAGTATTCCTGATGAATTTAAGTCAGGTAGTTAGCTTTTGTGGGTTTACTCTAAAATCCTAATCATCTTTTGTTTTTGTTGGATAATGTCTTAATACTAAATAACCCTTTATAAACATTTAGAATTAAACTATTGTTAAATTTAAAATGTGTCTTTTTAAAAAAACTACAGGGAAACAGAGCCGTCTTTATATGCTATCTATTGGTTTGGTTAACTTCACTTGCTATGTGCATAATACCTATCACAATTGTAGGGGGAGCCTTACTTACAAAGATCTCATTTTCAGTGTTGAGTAGAAGCAGGCCATGTATTGTCACTGTTTGCTTTAAAAAAAAGTGTTTTATTGATTTTTTTTTTTTTTTTTTTAGAGAGGAAGGGATCCGGAGAGAGAGATAGAAACACAGATCAGCTGCCTCCTGCACACCCCCTATTGGGGATTGAGCCCAAAACCTGGGCATGTGCCCTCACCTGGAATCAAACTAGCAATCTCTTGGTACATGGGACAAAGCTCAATCCACTGAGCCACACTGGCTGAGCTCACTGTTTACTTTTTATTTACATTTGGCCATTTAGTAATTGCCAGTTGTCCTCACTTCATTCTTCCATTAATCTGACTCCAAGCATTTTAAAAATTAGGGAAAAAGTCTGGATAGCATTCAGAGATTCTTCTGTCTCTTTGTAGGGTCCACTGGACTGGCCTGGAATTGGCCATCCCACATGTTATTCATTTATTTAATTTATTTATTTACTGTTGATTTATCCATGTGCAGTATGTGTAGATACCTGTTTTTGAGAAGAAATCAGTTGACAAGCACATACACTTAGCACAAAACCCAAGAAATAAGAGACTAGGGAGAATAGTATAAAGCAGACGCAGTTGGTTCTGTAGTTTCAAGTTTGTCAGTCTTGTTTCTATGTTTCCACCAAGAACTACTTGAAACAAAAAGCAAGTTAAGAAAATGCACATAAACAAATTCAAACTAAATATTACGCAGTATAAAATCTTCCTATTCTGTTTAATTTTTAGGTTTTATTGAAGTATTAGCATGCATTGTAAAGTGTGTCCATTTTCAAAACTACTCTCTGTGTTCATCAAAAGATGTTCCAATGTGAAAAGGGATATCAACATAAATATGTTTGTCCCAAATTCATCTGCTGTGTATTCCCAGGAAGAGCAGATGAAGCTTATTGTTGAAACTTATTTGATCTAATTTTTCTTCAATATTGGTAGATAAAGAATACTTTAGTTGTACTTTATGTACTAAGTAGAAACTTTTCTTTTGTTTTTTAAGGAACCAAATGGAGAGACTCCTTCATCTTTATACAGAGTTGCAGCAGTGCTTCTACAAGTTAATCTTATTGATTTAGATGATCTTTATGTACACGTAAGTCAAGTGGGCTGCTAAGAATTTTTGGTTGTCCATCCCAGGGGTGGGCAAGAGGAGTAGGCAGCCATATAATGCACTCCAAGATTGTTCCTAGGCTCTCAAGTCTTAATTTTTGAAGCCCTAATATTATTATTAGTTTGTATGTATAAACTGAATGACTTTAATTCTTTTACAAACTGTGGAAATGGAATACCTTTTCTCACCCTTACAGAGTTCAAGGTTGACGTTGAAGTTCTTAATTGTTATCAAGGAATATTTCATGGGGAGAGAGGCCAAGTTCTAAGCAATGTGGCTTTAGGCTTCTCTATTTATTATATACAAATTATAGGAAATATGGGATTACCTAGATAGTTCTTTCTTCTCCCCAAAATGTTAATTTTTGGCATTCAGGATGAATGGGAAAGTCTTTACATATTTTTTAATGGCTTTTCTTGTGTTTTTAATGGGTAATAAATGACTGGTATTGTGTTTTTACTGCTGGATCCAGGATGTAGAAGAGTATGTATGTAATTTTGATTTGTTGAGAGTGTCAGTTTGAAAAAACTAGGTTTTTAGTGTAGAACTTTCTGTTTTATTAGATTGTACATTAGGATATCTATGAACTTAAACCAGTCAAAAAATGCCTTGGAGCTCACTTTCTAACTTTCTTGGCTGTCATTATGTACTGTGGTTGCAGAGTTGAGTAAAACTTGATCTCTGACTTGGAAGCAATTATAGTCAAGCAAGAGAGAAAACATTTTGCATCATATAATAAGAACTTTATTGGAGGTATTTACATAGTGCTGTGGGAGCTCAGAATAGTGATCATTTCTGTTTGGGGCGTTTTGGAAGGCTTTTTCAAACTAGTGATGTTAAATAGGATTTTGATGATCAGTAGGTATTGACCATGCTTAAAAGGTGGGAAGCTTCATAGGTAGAATTAACTGAGCATAAAGGAAGGATATTTTAAAGGGCTTCCTTGATGTTAGGAGAACATCAAGAAGCTCAGAGTGGTTGGCCAAGGATGATATGTAGGAGTGATGAGTATGGACAAGTAGGATGGGACTAAACTGTGAAGGGCCTTAAGTGCTTAAGTAAGGTGTTTGGATTTTTTCTTGTTGGGAGTAGAGAGCCATTCAAGATTTAAAACAGAGGAATCTTGTACAAACTGTGAACATGGAAAAGTGGTCAGAAAAAAAGAGAATTTGAAGACATAGGTATAAATTTATAGTGTTGACTGGCAGGACAAATGGAAACTAAAAAAATGATGATAGATTTATTACTGATATGTTTGAGTTTAACAATACGTGCAGGTGGACTAAAGTGTTCCTGTTAAGGTGACAAAGATTTACAGACAGGATTAAAAACCAGTTTATTGTTTACATGAAACTTCTAAAATTTAGGGACAAAAAAAGTTTGAAAGTAAAAGTGTGGGAAAAATATACCAGGGACATTATTATAGTTAGACAAAATACACTTTTTTTTGGCGAAAAGAAATAGTCACTTCATAAAAATAAAGTTTTGTTCACTATGAAGATATAGCAGTTGTAACTTTATAAATACCTAATAACATTCTCAAAATACATAAAACTAGAAATTGAGAGGACTCTAAAGAAATGTACAGTTCACCCATTATAATGGTAAAAGATAAGGACCTATGGCAGATAAGTAGTTTGTGAGTGGGGAGCATAAAGAATGAGAAAAAGCCTCGTTTATCTCCTTGTACCAGTCCATAGTGACTTTTCTTCCACTCCCCTTTTGACTAATGGGATGAAGTCTACCATATGTAGTTTAATATTTCACTGTTTCCTTTTATTGTTTACTGATTCGTTACTTTGCATTGGACTTAGCTACTGAAATAGTTTATGCATTTCTAGGGGCAGGAACATTTCTTTTAAAGCTCACTATAGTGCCTAGTTAAAATTATTAAATAATGGTTTGTTGACTATATTTTTCTTTGTATGGGTTACTTTTTTTTTCTTTATTGATTTTGGAGAGAGAGGAAGGGAAAGTGAGAGAGAGAAACATTGATGGGGATTTGACCCACAACCTGGGTATGCTGTGACTGGTAATCAAACCTGCAACCTGTTGGTGCATGGCTTGATGCTCAACCACTGAGCTACACCAGCTAGGCTGTGTCGGTTATTTTATGAAATGTCTATATCACCCATCTTCCACTCATACAAGATGGTTGTAGTTGAGATACTTGATCCTTTTTCATAATGGAGGATTGACAGTACGCATATTACTTTTCTCATTTTATTTTATTTTTTTTTATCCTCACCCGAGGACATTTTTCCATTTTTTGTTCAGGTAGAGTGGGGGGGCGGGGGGGAGAGGAACAGAGAGAGAGAAACATTGACGTGAAAGGAACACATCGAGTGGCTGCCACCCGCACAACCGACCAGGGCCGGGGACAAACTGCAACCGAGGTACGCGCCCTTAGCGGGAACCGAACCCGGGTCTCTCAGGACCGCAGGCCGACGCTCTAACCGCTGAACCAAACCGGCCAGGGCAACTTTTCTCTTTTATAATAAACTAGAAACTAGTTTGTGAGTTAAGTCAAATAGATATCTAGAAAATGAAAAGTGGTATGTTAAGTTCATAATTTTTCTACTTGAGACTTTTTATTTAGAGGTATCAAATTTACCTTTATGTAATTTAGTAGCTCACCTGTCCCAAATTGGGTCCATATGCAGTACTTTATTTAATTTAGAGTTGGCCTTTAAAGGGAAAATGTATAATTTTAATGGAAGAGGCACATATTTTCTTGGGTAAACTAATAAATTCAATAGTAAACACTACTGTCGTAATATTATATTAATTTAGGACCTCTAACAGACAGGAGACATGAAACTCAAACTACTTTCTAATTTTAAAGGGTGAACAAAATTCAGGGACTTAACTCTGTCATATTTTAAGAACATAAAGGAGAGGAACTTATTTAGAAGGGAAATCATGGTCATGAGTAGGCTAGACTTCTTATTTACAGTTTTACCAATTGATAGTTAAGTGGTTTGCTTTTTATATGTGCAAATAGTATTAGCTGTTTTATGAAATTTTAATGAACAATTTTTAGCTTCTTCCAGCTGATAATTGCATTATGGATGAACATAAACGAGAAATTGTGGAAGCTAAGCAAATTGTTAGAAAACTTATGATGGTTGTATTGTTTTCCGAAAAAATTGATGAACGAGAGAAAGAAAAGGAAAAAGAAGAGGAGAAAGTGGAAAAGGTATATAGTTCATTCTAGTAAAATTAACATTGTTTTCTGGATTTAGAATTATGAAATTTAGCTAGTAGTTAATTAACTTATAGAAGAATAATTTTCTAATTTTGATTGTGGTGAAACATGGTTTTTGGAATACTAATTTACGAACGTGGTTTTGCTTTTAATTTGATTGGCACCTTCCCAAAGGAGGCTGCTATTTATTTAATATAAATTTCAAAATGATATTTTAAATAAAATCACAAACATATTGACTATATTTGTGCTATACATATTAATGTCTCTCAAGTCCTGAAGGGATTCTCACAAATGAATGGATTCTGGTTCCCCATGGCCCAATAAAACATTAAGTACAACTCAGTGTAATTCCAAGTCTGTAAACTGTCACACTGCATCTGCTAAATGAAAAAGCAAATCCGTTTGTTTTTTTCCAATAGCTAAAAACTTGATTGTACTTTGAGGAAAATACTGTTGCATTTCTTATGCATGAATGCCAACTGTTGTTAACATACATTGTTATGTTTAGCTCACTTTTTTAAATGAAAAAAAAATTAAGATTTATTGATATCCATATTCTGAGTATCTTTGCTGTAATTATTCATTTTAGCCACCTGACAACCAAAAACTTGGTTTGTTGGAAGCCTTATTAAAGATTGGTGATTGGCAGCATGCACAGAACATTATGGATCAGATGCCTCCATACTATGCTGCTTCACATAAGCTAATAGCTCTTGCTATTTGCAAGCTCATTCACATAACTATTGAGCCTCTCTACCGAAGGTATGTTACTGTATGCTTTACTAATCACAGAGGTAGAAATAGTTTAGGACTATGATAAAACCTGCATATTTATATTGACTCCTCAAACCATGCATGTCTTTTAGTATGTTTTTCAGAAGATAAGAACTATTCATAGTGTATCAGTCTGATATGTGTTAATCAGTGATTTGTCTCCTAATGTCTAGACCAGGTATTGGAGAATGTGTGCTATAGTATAATCTAAAAACTATAAGTTGGACTTCTAGGTTGGGATTGCCCCGTTGAGAATGAAGACTCTATTCTTCTGTTTTTGACTTTCCTCTCTTTTAGGGGCAGAAAATTTCTAAGGCTTTTACTTAGTGTAATTTTCTTCTATCCTGGGTTGAGTGGCTCTGAGTGAGGACCTTGCTTCTCTGCTTGCCTTATCTCTCCCTGCTGTTCTAGAAATTGGTAGTGCAGCCTCTCTCATCATCTCTAGTTACTGTGTTGACCAGTCCTCTAGTTCAACCCACGTTTAGGATACTTGAGAGCAGTATTGGCAGTAGTTCTGGCTTCAGCCTGCCTCAAAAGCTCCAGCCTTTCATGCATAGCTGCTGGCTGTTGCTTTTAGTGCCCCCTGGGTTGTGGACCATGAAGGCTTCTTCTCAGAGACTGACCCCTGTGTCTCCACAGTGGGACACCTGCTCAGCAGGTGAGGACTCTGGGTATGCTGTCCTTTTTAGTGTGAAACCCTCTTTCATTATGCTGCTCATTTTCTCTTCCACCAAACTACCTCATTCCAGGTCTAGGTAATGGAACTCAGATTGAAAAATGCTTATTGACTTGAATCAGTGTTGTTATATTCATATCTTTTTATTTCATCTCCACTGTCTTTGAGGTCCATCTCTTATTCCCCATTCCCATATCCATTTTGAGTTTGTTTTTTAATCCTCACCCAAGGATATGTATTTTTATTGATTTTAGAGAGAGAGAGAAACATCGATGTGAGAGAGAAACATTGATCAGTTGCCTCCAGTACATGCCCCAACTTAGGATTGAACCTGAAACCTGGGTATATGCCCTGACCAGAATCGAACCTGCTACCTTTTGGTGTATGGGACTACACGCCAACCAACTGAGCCACACCAGCCAGGGCTCCCATATTCATTTTCCTGATAGTGGCTGAGCTTAACTAAAAACAAATTCATATGATGTATGTTTTGTAAATGTTCCTTGGAATATGCATTTTTCTGATTTCTTTTTTTTATGCAGTTAATTTGAAGCATTGTCCTCTGAGCTCTGATTTTTTTAAAGTGACTCTTCTTTTTGTCTTTTTCTACCAGTTAAATTAGCTGGTATTATAAAGTTAGGCACAATTGAAATACAGAAAACAAATATGAGCAAGAAATATTTTATTTTTAATATGATTATGTTAACTTGAAATGAGGTATTGTATAGTATACATATAAATTTTGCTTCTTTTTATAGAGTTGGCGTTCCTAAAGGTGCTAAAGGCTCACCTGTTAATGCTTTGCAAAATAAGAGAGCACCAAAACAAGCAGAGAGCTTTGAAGATTTGAGGAGAGATGTCTTCAATATGTTCTGTTACCTTGGTCCTCACCTTTCTCACGATCCCATTTTATTTGCAAAAGTGGTGCGCATAGGCAAATCATTTATGAAGGAGGTTAGTAAAATTTTTTCTTTTAAGTAGAAAATTAAATTTTGGAATGAGTATATTTGTGTTATGTGTATGTCTAGAAATTGAAAAAAAAGTGATCTCTAAGAAAAGGTTATATTGAGTAAGGTTTGGGGAAAGTCCATTGTGTCCTAACTATTTATATACATGTATGTGTGTATATATATACACACACATACAGATATATAGATATATAGAGAGTATATGTATGTCTATATAGTTTTATATCTATGTCTGTATCCTTTCTTGTGTGTTAATTCTCACCTGAGGAAAAAATTTCTCAATTTTTCCATTGATTTTGAGAGAGAGTGGAAGGGAGAGGGAGGGAGAAAAAGCGGGGGGAGAGAGAGAGAGAGAGATCATTTGTTTACCTTTTGCATGACTCTGACTGGGGCTGGGGATCGAACCCGCAACCTAGGTACTTGCCCCTGACCAGAATTGAACCCTTCTATCTGTGGGCTGATGCTCTGACCACTGAGCAAAACAAGGCAGGGCTATCTCGCTCGCTCGCTCGTGTGCGCGTGCGCACGCTCTCGCTCTTACTATCTATATATCTAACTAGCCTATTAGTCAAGTGGTTTACATGGTAAATATACTTTGGTCAAGTGAATTCTTTTTTAATCCTCTTATAATTAGTGGTTAGCTCAGCATTCTTTCCACTTGCTTTTCTTTTTCTGTTATTTTCTTGGCTGCTGTTTTGAATCATTGTCATTATTTGTATGAAGTCGCTTGAACCTCAGACTGTTAAGGATTTGTGTTTTACTTTTTTAAGTAAACTTTTTATTGTAATAAAACATACAGAAAGTACACAAATCATAATCGTACAGCTCAGTGACAGTTTCCAAACTAAAACACCCATGTGTCTACCACCCAGAGCAGTACCAGCACCCCAGAGTTTCCCTTTACCCCCTCTAATCATTACCTCAGGGATAACCATTTATGCTATTTTTTTAAAAATCAGTTTTGAGTTATAATTTATATACAATAAACTTCACCGATTTTAAGTGTACAGTTTGATGGGTCTTGACAAATGTATACAGTTATGTACCCACCCTCATAATCATGATATAGAATATTTTCATCACCCTAGAAAGTTCCCTCTTTCCCCTTTTGCTGTCAATTCCCTCCTTTTATTTTTGGTTTCTGGCAACCACTGATAGGCTTTCTGTCACTGTAGTTTTGCTTTTTTCTAGAGCTTCATATAAATAGAATTGTACAGAATGTACTATTTTCTGTCTGTTTTTATTCCACTTAATGCTTTTGAGATTATTCCAAATTGTTGCACATGTCAGACCTTCCTTTATTGCCAAATGCTATTTCATTGTATGGACATAACCAGAGTTATCTATTCACCAGTTGATGGGCATTTGGGTTGTTTCTAGATGGGGGCTATTATAAGTAAAGTTGCTATGAATATTCTTGTACAAGTCTTTGGGTGGGGGGGCACATGTTTTATTTTCCCAGGAATGGGATTGCTGGGTCATATGGATAAGTGGGTTTTTTTTTTAAATCTTTTTGCCAAACTGTTCAACATGTATGACCATTTTATATTCTTGCAAGCACTGTGTATGACTTACAGTTGCTTCATAGCCATGATAACACTTGGAATTGTCAGTCTTTTAAATTTTAGCCATTCTAATGAGTATGTACTTTTTGTGCTTTTAATTTATATTTCTCTGATGATCAGTGATGTTGAGCATCTTTTCATGTCTTAACTTACACCATACACAAGAATAAACTCAAAATGGATAAAAAACTTAAATATAAGTCGTGAAACCATAAAAATCTTAGAGGAAACCATAGACAGCAAAATCTCAGAAATTTCATGTAGCAGAATTTTCACCAATATATCGCCTAGGGGCAAGAAAAACAGGAAAAAATAAACAAATGGGACTACAACAAAATAAAAACCTCTGTACATCAAAAGAAACCATCAGCAAAATAAAAAGGGATCCCACTGTTGGAGAGAATATATTTGCCAATGATACATCAGATAAGGGGTTAATTTACAAAATACATAAAGAACTGATACAGCTTAACAAAAGGAAGACAAAGAATCCAACTAAAAATTGGGCGAAGGACCTCAGTAGACACTTCTCCAAAGAAGACATAGAGATGGCCAAGAGACATAAAAAAATATTCAAAGTCATTAATCATCAGAGAGATGCAAATTAAAATGACAATGAGGTATCACCTTACACCTGTAGAATGGCCACCATCAACAAATCAACAAACAACAAGTGCCATTGAGGATGTGGAGAAAAGGGTACTCTCATGCACTGCTGGTGGGAATGCAGACTGGTGCAGCCAATACAGGAAACTGTGTGGACTTTTCCTCAGAAAATTAAAAATGGAACTGACATTTGACCCAGTGATTCCACTTCTAGGAATATATCCTATGAATCCCGAAACACTAATCAGAAAGAATATATGCACCCTAATATTCATAGCTTCACTGTTTACAATTACTAAGATCTGGAAAAAGTCCAAGTGCCCTTTTGTAGATGAGTGGATAAAAATGCTGTGGTACATTTACAAAATGGAATACTATGCAGCTGCAAAAAAGAAGTATCTCTTACCCTTTGAGACAGCATGGAGGGTCCTGGAGAGTATTATGTGAAGCGAAATAAGCCAGTTATCAAGACAAGTATCACACGATCTCACTTATATGTGCAATCTAATGTCATTTATTATATAACATTTATATAAAAGGATGACTAACAGTGTTTCATTATCTTGATCCTTTTTATTTTTATTGTTTTATTTTTTTATTTCAGATAGAGTGGGAGGGAGAGAGGGAGGAAGAGAGAGAAACATTGATGTGAGAGACACATCGACTGGTTGCCACCCACATGACCCCAACCGGGGACAGGGACGAACTGAACCCGGGACTCTGGTCTGCGGGCCGACGCTCTAACCACTGAGCCAAACAGGCCAGGGCTCATTATCTTGATCCTTATAATCTGAAAAGGATGAGTCATGTTAACTAGTACCTATTCAATGAAAAAAGGTTTTATATTTCCCAGTGTATCATATTAGGAATCAGGTGAAGTAAACTTGGTTCATTACTGGTGATATTTATTGATCACTTGGTTAAGGTGATGACTGCCAGGATTCTCCATTCTTTTCCCCTTAGTTGTTAATATGTATCTTGTGGGGAGATACTTTGGGACAGTGTAAACTGCCTCTTTCTCATCTTACTTTAACCCACTAATGCTATTCTTTTTAGTTGAAAGAAAATTTTTATTGTATCCAAAATGTGTTTATCGGGATAGTTCCCCACTCATCTTTTTTTTAAATCCTCACCCAAGGACATTTTTCCATTTTTTGTTCAGGTGGAGTAAGGAAGAGAGAGAGAGAGAGAAACATCGATGTGAAAGGAACACATCGAGTGGCTTCCACCCACACAAGCGACCAGGGCCGGGGACAAACTGCAACCGAGGTACGCGCCCCCAGCGGGGACCGAACCCAGGTCTCTCAGGACCGCAGGCCGACGCTCTAACCGCTGAGCCAAACCGGCCAGGGCTCCACTCATCATGATTTGAAGTGCTTTTAGTACTGCTTCCTTCTGAAGGAGCATTCTCTGTAAGCCTTGCTTTTCCTCCTGTAGGCTGACAGAGGACAGTAGAGCAACCAACACACATAACTGCTGTTTGTGCAGGGCTAAAATCGGTGATTTTATAGCAACCTGGGCATTTAATATCCATGAAGCAGGCCCTGGGGCTCTGCACCAGGTGCTTCTTCTTGTGTTTCCTATTCTCTTCTGGAGAAGGATGAAGGAGATTCTTAGTGAGAGGCATATTGTCATGGGGAGGTCGTCACTGCCAGAAAACTAGTTGAAAATCTTAATGTTCTGACCTCTTCTTTTGAAAGTCTTTCTTTGGCAATAAGTATCATAAACTTGTAAGCAGAAGGTCAAACATGCAACTTGTGGAAGCCCTGTGTATATATAGACATATGCATAAACATATATGGTATTGTTACCAAGATACATGGCTGCTAGACCTGTCATCCTTCCTCTCCACCATCTCCATTGCAGCCCTCCTGTACCTCTGTTCTATCACAGTTGTGCCTGATGCCTCCCCCTAACTCTAGTCTATTTTTGCAGAGGTAGAAGGGCAAAAGAGAAGAGAAAAATATTTATTTTGATCACAGTGTGGGAAGAAATATATCTTCTCTCATTGCTAAGGTGGTGGTAAGAAAAGTGAATCGGTCTACTAATCTGATTTAAATTTTGGTTAATTTTTTGCCCCCGAAAATTATTTCTGTATATATATGTTTAAAGGCTGTCTATCTAGGCATTTAACCAGGGTTTAAAAAATTGATTTTTAAAGTGAGAATGTGACCGTACTTCCAAATAAAGTATTTACATTGAAACGTCTTTAACAGATCTCTCATTTATAAGCTTGGGGTTGATTGTATATATAAATTATGTATATTTTTAGAAATTATCTTATTTACCTATACCAGCTACCTCTTTTTTTTTTTTTTTTTTTTATCCTCACCTGAGGATATTTTTTCCATTTTTTGTACAGATAGAGAGAGGAAGGGAGAGAGAGAGAGAGAGAAACATCGACATGAAGGGACACATCGAGTGGCTGCCACCCGCACGACCAACCAGGGCCGGGGACAAACTACAACCGAAGTACGTGCCCTCAGCGGGAACCGAACCCGGGTCTCTCTGGACCGCAGGCCAACGCTCTAACCACTGAGCCAAACTGGCCAGGGCCCAGCTACCTCTTAAGAGACTACTCTTTTGGCCTATAATTATTAGTAACCATTTACCTCTCTGATTGTGTGTGTGTGTGTATGTATATATTTCTTAATTTTTTAATGTGATAACTCTGCAGCTTTATTTTCTTTACATTGAGCATTGGAGGACAAGGGAAAATGAGTTTTACAGCATGAGTTGAATAATGCCAATTTTCCCAATGACATCAGACAAAATAATTTGTAGATCATCTTTAAAGAACACTGAATATTTATCT